TTTCAATTGCTAACACAATGATTGATGAATATTAGTTCGGTAAACGGAGCTTTCATACCTTTTCTAGCGGTCCATGATGCAGATGTTGAATATTTTGGGAAAGCTGCACATGCATCTGGTGAAAATTTTATTTATTTCTTTTTTAAGTATTATATATATATATATGCTCATCTGGAAACAGTGCACCCATGCACTTTGTGCCTCTATAGCAAAATTAAGCCTGCGATAGAAACTAGGGTTAGGTTACGAGTAGAATTAGAGTTAGGGTTAGAGTAAGGTCAAATTGCGAGAGGGATATCTTTGCTTATGTCATACGACAGGGTTACCTAGTCAAAATTTCGAGCTATTAATTCATTTACGGTAGGGGCACAAAGTGCACGGGGCACTGACTAGTCCTGACCTATATATATACATGTGCATGTATATATATATATAACTTTATTAACATTTAATTTGTTGCTGGATTATTAGCAACACCTCATAAGGGTATTGTGAAATTCAATTTTTTTGTTTTTATTTACGCTATTTGGCGACATGTTGATAATTAATCAATTTTTATACAAAAATTAAAATGTTCTAACAGGAATTAATGCATTGGATGCAATAGTATTGGCCTATAATAATATTGGATTGTTAAGACAGCAGATTCTGTCTACAGACAGGTATAAGTCGATTTTCGTATTTATTTTTATGATGATTTCATACTTAATCTTGATTGTAATATTTGTAGAATTCATGGAATTATTACTAATGGAGGACAGGCACCCAACAGTTTGTACTATATTTCCACCAATATTGAAATCAAATTTAAGATTATAATCAAAAATTATACATAATATTTTTAGTCATTCCGGAACATACAGCTGGTACTTTCCTTGTTCGTGGAAAGACAATAGAGGATTTGGAAGAGCTTCAGCCACGTGTACATAAGTGCTTTGAAGCAGCATCAGAAGCGACTGGAGCTAAAACCAAAATTACATGGGGAAGAGCGGTTCATGGTAGCTTCATAAATATAATAAGTATTCATCAATTAAATAATAATAAATAATTTAACCTAATTATCGTTTATAGAT